TGGATGTTTGTGCTCGCTGTGTCCTTTCTCTTTGCCCAGATAAGCACAGAGCACATTGGTGTCATCCTGGCAAGGCTGGCAGATTGGGATGTGCCTTTGGGAATGTCCCCCTTTCCTCTTCCCCTTAGATCCCAGACTCTGAGCTCTGCCTGGACGGTGCAAAAACAACCAGGAAAATGTGGGAAATGTCCCCATGGCAGGGGGGATGGATGAGCTTGATGAGCCCTTCAACCCAAACCATCCTGGGATTCTATGGGAGTCTTCCCCATTGCCAAGTTATCCTGGTATTGGGGTGGGAATCTCTCACATTCCCAAGGTGTTAGGGTGGGAATCTTCCACATTTCCCAATTATCCAGGTATTAGGGTGAGAATCATCCATGTTGTCCAGGGATTAGGGTGGGAATTTCCCACATTTCCCAATTATCCAGGTATTGAGGTGGGAATCTTCCCCATTCCCAAGTTATCCTGGTATTAGGGTGGGAATCTTCCAGGATTCCCAGGTTATCCTGGTATTAGGGTGGGAATCTTCTATATTCCCAAGGTATTAGGAGGGAATCTTCCATGTTTCCCAGGTATTATGGTGGGAATCTTCCCCATTTCCAGGTTTCCCAGGTATTAGGGTGGGGATCTCCTACATTTCCCAATTATCCAGGTGTTAGGGTGGGAATCTTCCCCATTCCCAAGTTATCCTGGTATTAGGGTGGGAATCTTTCACATTCCCCAATTATCCAGGTATTAGGGTGGGAATCTTCCATGTTTCCCAGGTATTATGGTGGGAATCTTCCCCATTTCCAGGTTTCCCAGGTATTAGGGTGGGAATCTCCTACATTTCCCAATTATCCCGGTGTTAGGGTGGGAATCTTCCACATTTCCAGGTTATCGAGGTATTGGGGTGGGAATCTTCCAGGTTTCCCAAGTCATTCTGGTATTAGGGTGGGAATCTTCCACATTTCCCAATTATCCAGGAGTTGGGGTGGGAATCTTCCACATTCCCAAGGTATTAGGGTGAGAATCTTCCCCATTCCCAGTTTCCATCCCCGAGGAATTGCCAGCCTTTGGTGAGCTGGGGTTTGAATTTAACACCCCTGCTCCTCCAGGGTTTTTGGCAATCCAGGGAATTCTCACTCCAGGCTGTGGGTGCAGCACCAGGTTGGTTTCCCAGGTTGGTTTTCCAGGGTGGGAACATGTGCATCCCTTCCTGGTGTGGAATTCCTTAGGGATGTCCAGGGCTTTTCTGTTATCACCCAAAGCCTTTTTATCCACGTGGATTTTATGCTTTTATTCCAGAGGCAGTCCTGGAGTCCATACAGAAAGGGTGTGGATTGTGCTGCTCCCAGCCTTCCCAAGCACTGCCTTTTCCAGGAGTTCAGTGGGAATTTTGATTTAAAATGTTAAATTAGATATTTGTAACCTTTCTCCATACAGAAAGGGTGTGGATTGTGCTGCTCACGCCCTTCCCAAGCACTGCCTTTTCCAGGAGTTGAGTGGGAATTTTGCTGGAAAATATTAAATTAGAGATTTGTAACCAGTGCAGCAGCTGGAATCCCTGCTGTGACCTCAGCTCCATGTCATGGAGGGAACCCCAAAATCCCGGAGCTGTCTGATGGAATGCTCACCTGGAATCCTGCACAGGGCATTCATTGGGATGTGCTGTGTGACAATCAACCTGCCCCAGTGCTGGGAATTATTTTTCCCCTCCCTCCTGCTTCCCGTAGAACTTGGGATTTCATTTCTAGCTGGATGTTTATGGGCACTGTGTCCTTTTTATCCATAAAAATAAATACAGAGCCAGTCAGCTTTTTAGTGCTGGTTGCTGCTAACCAGATCATGGAAAGCTCTGGAAGAGCTTTGTGCTTTCCATGGAATGGTTTGGGTTGGAAGGGCCACAGAGGCTCCAGCCCTGCTCCATGGGCAGAGAGCTTCCATTGAAATAGGGATTGGAAGAGGTAAAGAATTCAGGCAAGGCCAAAGCACAGCACTGTTGGTTGGGAGTTTTTCCCGATTTTTCCAGCCAGGATGAAAAATCAGGAAAATTCCATCCCCTTCCTTGCTTAACCCATGGATATCAGCATGAGGAGTTTGTGAGGAGTTTTATTTTTGTTGGCACAGGAGAATTTGCAGTTCAGAGAAAGGAGCAGAGAATTGTGCTCGTTCCTGGATCAGGACAAAAGGAGGATTTCCATGGAGCTGCTCCTGGCCTGGGCAGTTTGTGTGCATGGAATGGGGCTGGGGGGAATCCTTGGGAAGGAGAGCAGGGAGAGGATGCTCCTGTCCTTGCCTGCAGAGCAGCTCTTCCATTTGGGAGGCTTGAGCCCCAGGACAGTGTGAAGGAAGGGATTGTTTCATTCCCAGTGTGCTCCCCACCCTCTCCACCCTTTCTTTGGTTTTCCCCAAAGATCCAGGCAGGATTTAGGGTCGGGATCAGCGCTCGCTGCAGCTCAGCTCAGCAAAATGGATCCATGACCTGATTTCAACTTGTGGGAGCTGCAGAATGTAAATATTTGATGGAACTCCAGCTTCCCTTGGCAAATCTGCTCCAGCTCTTGCAGCTGAATCCTGCCAGGCTGTTCCTGAAATTCCCTTGGTAGCGTGGAGATGTTTGGAGCTCTCCTTCCTCCTGGAGGTGGTTCTGGCTTCAGCCTTGGGTTTGTGGAGGATCCCCCAGTCCAAGCAAGGCTGGGGTTGTGATTGTGTCCCAATTCCTGGGAAACAAGGGAGGGATTTCAGTCCCAGCTGGGCTCCCTGCTGCACTCACCTGGGGCTGCTCCTGCTTTGGGCAGGGAGGATCCCCAGTGCCTCTCCTGAGGTTCACATGAAGGTGGGGGAGGTTGGCAGCATTTAAATGGTTAAATGCGGATTTTTTCAGGCTTTTTTGGTTGCTCTGAATAGAAAACTTCCATGTTTTTTGAGTCCTGGAAGGAGCTTTTTCCATGGATGGAGTCAATATCCCAGACATGAATTTCTTCCCTGTTTTTATCCCTGTCAGAAGCAAGAGTTCGTGTTGGTTTAAAAGGATACCTGCAGAATTCAGGGAAATTCCCACCTGGGCTGTGTTTGCTGGGATCTCTGGGATGGTGGCACGACAGGGAAAAGGAGGATTTATGGCAAATTCTCAATCCAGAAAGGTGGCACAGCAGGGAAAAGGAGAATTTATGGCAAATTCTCAATCCAAAAAGGTGGCACAACAGGGAAAAGGAGGATTTATGGTAAATTCTCAATCCAAAAAGGTGGTACAACAGGGGAAATGAGGATTTATGGCAAATTCTCAATCCAAAAAGGTGGCACAACAGGGAAAATGAGGATTTATGGTGAATTCTCAGCCCAAAAAGATGACAGAACAGAGAAAAGGAGGATTTATGGCAAATTCTCAATTCAGAAAGGTGGCACAACATAGAAAAGGAAAATTTATGGCATATTTTCAATAAAAAGGTGGCACAACAGGGAAAAGGAGAATTTATGGCAAATTCTCAGTCCAAAAAGATGACAGAACAGAGAAAAGGAGGATTTATGGTAAATTCTCAATTCAGAAAAGTGGTACAACAGGGGAAAGGAAAATTTATGGCAAATTCTCAGTCCAAAAAAGGTGGCACAACAGGGAAAAAGGAGGATTTATGGTGAATTCTCAATTCCATAAGTTTAGAAGGATTCCTGCAGAATTCAGGGAAATTCCCACCTGGGCTGTGTTTGTTGGGATCTTGGGGATGGTGGCACAACAGGGAAAAGGAGGATTTATGGCAAATTCTCAATCCAAAAAGATGACAGAACAGGGAAAAGGAGGATTTATTGCAAATTCTCAATAAAAAAGGTGGCACAACAGGGAAAATGAGGATTTATGGTGAATTCTCAATCCAAAAAGCAACTGCAGGTTTTGGAAGCAGCTTTTCCTGGTTGGAGCCCCCCCTCTGGGCAGATCCCAGGTGATTTATCCAAGCCAGGACTGCAGGAATTCATTCCCCCTGATCCATGTTCAGTTTGTCCCACATCCGGATATTTGGGTTCCCCCATTGAGGAGTTTGGGATCCTGGGTTCTGCAGTCGCTCTCAGCCATCATTGGAAACTTTTATTTTTTTGGATGGATGTGCTTTGCTTCCCCACAGGCTGGGGATGGTGCATAATCCCATTAATGTGTTTTATTTTATCATTATTTATGGGATAAAAAAGAGTGTTTGGGGCTTCCAAATGTCCTGAACTTGGGGTTGAAGTTGGCAGCTGGAAAACAAAATTTATCTTTTGATTCAAGTGTTGGGGACATTGTAAGGCTTGAAACCATTTTCAAATTTTTATTCTGAATATATTTTTTTATTTTAAAAAAATTCAAAATAAATTTATTTAGTTTTTATTTCAAAATTTATTTTATTTGTCTCACAATTCAATTTGCAACTCAAAATCCCTCTCAAATCCAGAAATCTGAAATGTGGACAAAGCCACATCGAGCTCCCTCCTCCTAAACTTGTTTTTTAGGAGACCAGAGGCGCCAACAGGAGAATTAATTGCTGTATTGATGGAAAATTTCAATTATTGCCTCCCTGGCTCATAACTGTAGAGTAATGTTGTGATACCAAGCTCAGAGAAAATCTCTGTTGGGAAAAAAAAAAAAAAATATATATATATAAATATAATATATATATATTATGTATAGAAAATAGATATAAAATATATTTTAAAATTCAAATGTTGGGCTACAATTTGTGTTCAGACTGGCCCTTCTAAGCCCAGATCATCAAATGGGGGAGCTCCCCTGGGCTCCTGGACAGGAATTTTCAGGATCCAACAAAATCTTTGTGGTTGCACTGCAGACTTTTCCTGAATTTCCTGACTTCAGGATTCCCTGGAATGTGAGGGAATGGACCCAGGGTGGGAAGGGTGCCTGCTTATTTTAAAGGTTATTTATGGCTGGGATGGCTTTGGCTCCTTGGTCCGTAAATTCCAGACTTCTCATGTAAAAAAAAATTCCATTTTTGGGGGTTTTTCTGCTCATTTCCCTCTGTTTCTCCTTGCAGGATTCATGAATAAAATCTTCCATCCCAACATTGACGAGGCGTGAGTAAATCCTTCCTTCATCTTTGTGGAAAATCCTGCAAAATCTCAAATATTTCCCCACCATTTCTTGCCTGTGTGGAGCTTCCCTGGCAGTACAATTCCAGTTTATTTTCTGCTGGGCAGAGTGGGAAGATGGAGGTGGTTAAAGGCCATAAATAGGAATCAATCAGGGCTTATCCCAGGCCCCGGGGAAGGGGCTGGTGAGGAGTTTTTCAATGCCCAGAGTGTTCTGCAGTGTTAATTCCATTTTCTCTGTGTGTTCCAGGTCAGGAACTGTATGTCTAGATGTAATCAATCAAACCTGGACAGCTCTCTACGGTGAGTTGGGCATTTCCCTCTGCCACTGATGATTTCTGACCACTTCTTGGAGGTTTTTTTGCCTTTGATTTTGGGTTTTTTTACTGAATTTGAAACTCCTCCCCGAGCCAAGATCTCGAGAAAAATAAGATTTTTTTACAGGTTAGGAGGAGGTGTTGCCTCTGATGCTGCAGAGTGGTTTCCATGGGCTCATTTCTGGTTAAAAATCTGCTTTTTAGGGATAAACAGGTCAATTTAAAAACCAAATCGATTTAAAATACAACTTAGAGAAAGCTGGAACTGTTAGGAGGAGCACAGCTGAGTCTCTGTTTAAAAATGGGAATTTCAGATATTCCAGGTACACTCTGTGGAAGAAATCCAGGGGAATGTGGGCATCAAATCCTTCAGGTTCTTCCCTGGAAAACTGATTTTAGCTGGAATTCCTCGTTGGAACTCTGGAGTTGCCATGTGGTGGAGGATGAGGATCACAACCTGGATTTGTTGTGGGAGATCAGCTCCTCCACAAAAAGGATAACAAGGAATAATTCCAGTGGTTTTGTGCTCCAGCATTCCAGGGCCTGCCTTGGAGCTGCAGGGGGACACTGGGCTTAATTCCCTCCAAAATCAATCCAAGATTCCAGCACCACCTCACAAAGAAATGGAAAAGGAGGAATAATTCCTCTCCTTTTGGCATTTAAAAAAGGAATTTTTCAATTCCTTTAAGGCAGAGCTGGCAGAGGATCTGGGTGAGAGAATTCCAGCAGCAACCAAGGTGGGAGAAACCTGGAATATGCACCAAAAAATTCCTGAGCACCTCTTGGTTCAATTCCTGCTCCTTCCTCAGTGCTGGGGCTGAAATTCCTGCACAACCAGCTGGAAAACAAAATTTATCTTTTGGTTCAGGTGTGGGGCACCTCCTTCAGGAAAAACTCATTTTCCTGGGTGTCCTGTGAGCCCCAAGGGATTCCAGGGCTCCCTCATCCTCAGGAGCCCTCAGTGGCCACAGAGAGGCTCCTGAGCCAAGGGGAGGCACCTGGCACCAATTTCACCAACTCAAATCAGCTTTTTGCTGCCAGGGCCCAAATTCAGTCCCTGGGAATTGCAGCTGCCAAGGGCCAGGCAGTGCCAGGGCAGGGAATGCCCACCCAGGGCACTCCTGCTGCTTCCTGGGGTCCTTTTGGGGTTCAGATCCAGGGAATACCCACCCAGGACACTCCTGCTGCTTCCTGGGGTCCCTTTTGGGGGTTCACATCCAGGGAATGCCCACCCAGGGCACTCCTGCTGCTTCCTGGGGTCCTTTTGGGGTTCAGATCCAGGGAATACCCACCCAGGGCATTCCTGCTGCTTCCTGGGGTCCCTTTTGGGGTTCAGATCAGGGAATACCCACCCAGAGCATTCCTGCTGCTTCCTGGGGTCCCTTTTGGGGTTCAGATCCAGGGAATACCCACCCAGGACACTCCTGCTGCTTCCTGGGGTCCTTTTGGGGTTCACATCCAGGGAATGCCCACCCAGGACACTCCTGCTGCTTCCTGGGGTCCTTTTGGGGTTCACATCCAGGGAATGCCCACCCAGGGCACTCCTGCTGCTTCCTGGGGTCCCTTTTGGGGTTCACATCCAGGGAATGCCCACCCAGGGCACTCCTGCTGCTTCCTGGGGTCCCTTTTGGGGTTCAGATCCAGGGAATACCCACCCAGGGCACTCCTGCTGCTTCCTGGGATCCCTTTGGGGTTCAGATCCTTTCTCCAGGTGCTGCTGTGCTCCATCCCAGGAGCTCCTCTCAAACCTGGACACCTCATCCAGGGCTGGAGCCTGGAATTCTGTGGCTGCATCCCAGAGCTGGAGGAGCTCTTGCACAGGGAGAGCACCTGGAGATCTCCTTCCCTTTTGGTGGGGAACTTTTTGGGACGTTGAGGGCTCTGGGCATTGAATTCAGCAGCTCTGTGGTGGCTCAGGAATGGGCTCCAGCTTTTTTCCAGGAGCAGGGACAGGTGGAGATGCTCACCCACAGGATTTTCCTGGCACGAGGAACCAGAGACAGATCCAAGATTTCTGGAACGTTGCCACAGGAATCCCCCAGAGCAGGAGCATTTCCAAGGAGGGATGATGGCCCAGGGCTGGCTCCTGCCCTCCCCAGCTCTGCAATGGGAGTTGGTGCTTCCCAAGAGGGGTTTGTGCATCCCCGGGCACCTGGGCAGTTTCCTGCTCTGGATTGTTTGGTGACAGATTCCTGGGGGCTCTGCACATTCCCTCAATTGATGGATTTTTAGTGCTGGTTGCTGCTAACCAGATCATGGAAAGCTCTGGAAGAACTTTGTGTTTTCCACACAATCATGGAATGGTTTGGGTTGGAAGGGCCTCAGAGACTGAGCTCCAGCCCTGCTCCATGGGCAGAGAGCTTCCATTGAAATAGGGATTGGAAGAGGTAAAGAATTCAGGCAAGGCCAAAGCACAGCACTATTGGTTGGGAGTTTTTCCCGATTTTTCCAGCCAGGATGAAAAATCAGGAAAATTCCATCCCCTTCCTTGCTTAACCCATGGATATCAGCATGAGGAGATTGTGAGGAGTTTTATTTTTGTTGGCACAGGAGAATTTGCAGTTCAGAGAAAGGAGCAGAGAATTGTGCTCGTTCCTGGATCAGGACAAAAGGAGGATTTCCATGGAGCTGCTCCTGGCCTGGGCAGTTTGTGTGCATGGAATGGGGCTGGGGGGAATCCTTGGGAAGGAGAGCAGGGAGAGGATGCTCCTGTCCTTGCCTGCAGAGCAGCTCTTCCATTTGGGAGGCTTGAGCCCCAGGACAGTGTGAAGGAAGGGATTGTTTCATTCCCAGTGTGCTCCCCACCCTCTTCACCCTTTCTTTGGTTTTCCCCCAAAGATCCAGGCAGGATTTAGGGTCAGGATCAGCACCATCCCCTCCTTGCTGAACCCATGGCTATCAGCATGTGTGTGTGGGGATGAGGAGTTTGTGAGGAGCTGGAGCTGCAGCATCAGCTTTATTTTCACTTTTGATTCCATCAACCTTTATTTTCACTTTTGATTCCATCAACCTTTATTTTCACTTTTGATTCCATCAACCTTTATTTTCATTTTTGATTCCATCAACCTTTATTTTCACTTTTGATTCCATCAACCTTTATTTTCACTTTTGATTCCATCAACCTTTATTTTCAGTTTTGATTTTCCTCCCTTTATTCCCCCTCATTCCCAGAGTGTTTCCCTTGGAGTTTGTGCTGCTGTCTGGGTGTTCAGGGTGGTTTTTTGGGCTGGCCCTGCCTTGGGGACACTGACACCAAGGTTGTGTTTGCCTTGCAGATCTCACCAATATTTTTGAGTCGTTCCTGCCCCAGCTGCTGGCCTATCCCAACCCCATAGATCCTCTCAATGGGGACGCTGCAGCCATGTACCTCCACCGACCAGAAGAGTACAAACAGAAAATTAAAGGTGAGGCCTAATTAGCAGAGTTAATTGGGATTCCATCCCGAGGCAATGATGGCTCTTGGCTGCAGGTTCTGCCTGGCTTTTCCCCTTCCATGGGATGATGTGAAGGAGGGAGGGGATCAGGAATTGGGAAAGCTCAGGTATCCCAAAAGCTGGGATCAGCTCTGCCACATCACCCAGGAGTGGTTAAACCTGGAGTCACTGTTCTGGTGTGAAATGCCCTGATTTTTGAGGGTAGAACTCTCAAAATTTGATTGAAACTGTGAATTATTCAGCCTCCCTTGCCTGATTCCTCTGACAGGATTGTGGAGACTTCCCTGCAGATCTGCCCTGCTCAGTATCCCAAAGTCCATTCCCTGCTTTTTTATTACCAGGGAAGGGCAAAACAATTGCAACCAAAAAAATAATCTGTCAGATAAAATCTCCAGTGTCAGCACTGAGAGTCCTCCAGGCTTTCATGAAAACAGAACCCAAAAATACCCTTGGAAAAAAGCCAGAAAAACCAGATTTCACCAAAGGAGGCTCTGAGGACATCCCTGGGGATGAAGGGAGAACCTGCTCCCTCATTCCCCCCTTGCAGCCAGGTACAGATGATCTGGAAGGAGTTGGGAGTGCTTGGAACACATTCCATAAATCCCAGAGCCCTGAGTGCAGCAGCTCCTGCCAGGATTGCGTGACAAGGGTGGGATGGAGCTAAAACTCTGCCATCCCCTGTTCTAAAAAAGAACCTTGGGCACGTTCAAAGTGCTGCAGAGGAGCCTGGCAGCCCCTGTGCTCTGGGAGTGCAATTCCAATGTTTTATTTATTGCTGCTGCTCCTGCTGTTTGCATCTCTGGGAGCACAGGGATTGTTCCTGGTGCTCTGGGGAGGGGGGCACAGGCACAGAGGTGTGCCCCAAAATTTGTCATTCCTTTTCTTCTCTGCCTCCTCTCTGGAAGATTGCTTAGGGGATCTCCTTTGGGAGGGTGAGGAACAGCTGGAGGACGTCCAGGCTGGGTTTTTGTGGGAGCTCAGGACATGTCTGGGTAAAACATGTAAAACTTGTGCCAGCCCAGGTGTCTGGAGTTGCAGTGGGGTCCCTTGGAACACCAGGGCTGTGAGCACAGCTCCTTCCTGCTGCTCCAGGCTCTGGGACACAGGAACCCAGTGGGCTTTTCCTGGGAGGAATTGGTGCCATGAGGCTTCCCCTTCCTGAGCACCCTTCTGTGGGAGATGCTCTGGCACTATTTAGATATTTTGGGGTTTTTTTTTCCTTGATGGACTGAAAATCCCCACACAAATCCCAATCAGTGATACTCATCATGGAAACTCCCTGGAAATTTCGCTTTTCCTGGGTTAAACCTCCCAAAAAGCCCAGCCCAGGAGCTTTCCTGGCTATAAAAAAGTGGCATGTGAAGCTTGAAGGGCTCTGAGTTTTAGCTTGGGCTGGAGGAGGCACAGCCTGCAGGTGGGAATGTCCCCTGGAGCAGCCAGGGAGGAGGTGCTGGTGGCCTCCACTCCTGCCTGGGGCCTGCAGCTCCCAGAGCTGCTCCAGCCAGAGCCTGGGTGGGTTTGGAATAACCCCAGAGGGAATTCCGGAGGTTCCCACAAAGGGGGAGTGTGCTAGGAATAACAGCAGCTCCCTTGGGATTCCCCCTTTTCCAGAGGGAGATGAGTTCTGGGAAAGCTCTGGGGAGGGAGCAGCCAGCTCCAGGATGTGCCACAGAGCCCAGGAATGGTTTGGCTCTGAAGGGACCTCAAAGAGCACCCAAATCCCAGGGAATCCCCACCAGCCCAGGCTGCTCCAAGCCCTGGGACATTGCTGAGGGTGGGGCAGCCACAGCTGCTGCTCTGGGCAATGGGATAATTTGGAATTTATGTACTTGGAGGATTTATCAGTATTAATTTTTGTGATAATTTATCCTATTCCATGAGAATTTTCATCGTTTTTATTCAGTTGTGTTTTACATTATCAATTTTACAAGAAGTCATTTATCTGATTTATCAAATACGCCATTTATAATTTATGTACTTGTATGATTTAACAGTATTAATTTTTGTGATAATTTATCCTATTTCATGATCATTTTAATAGTTTTTATTTATATGTATTTTATATATTTTTTCAATTTTATTTTTATTTATTTTTATTATGTAAAACAGTTGTATTTTACAAGAAGTCATTTATCTGATTTATCAAACACGCCATTTATAATTTATATATTACATGATTTATCAGTATTAATTTTTGTGATAATTTATCCTATTTCATGATAATTTTAATAATTTTTATTTATTTTTATATATATATTTATATGTTTTTTATTTTATTTAATTTATTTTTATTATGTAAAATAGTTGTATTTTACATTATCAATTCTACAAGAAGTCATTTATCTGATTTATCAAACATGCCATTTATAATTTATATACTTACATGATTTATCAGTGTTAATTTTTGTGATAATTTATGGTCATTTATCCTATTTCATGATAATTTTATTCACAATTATATTTTACAACATAAATATATACATATATTATATAAAAATATATATATTTATATATATTTAAATATTTTTCTTTTATATATATATTTTACAACAATTCTATAAGAAATCTTTAACCTGATTTATCAAACATGCCATTTATAATTTATATATTACATGATTTATCAGTATTAATTTTTGTGATCATTTTTGGTCATTTATCCTATTTCATGATAATTTTTATTCACAATTATACTTTACAACATAAATATATACATATATTATAAAAATATATATATTTATATATATTTAAATATATATAAATATATTTTTATATATTTTTCTTTTATATATTTATTTTACAACAATTCTATAAGAGATCTTTTCTCTGATTTATCAAACATGCCATTTATAATTTATATACTTACATGATTTATCAGTGTTAATTTTTGTGATAAGTTATGGTCATTTATCCTATTTCATGATAATTTTTATTCACAATTATATTCTACAACATAAATATATACATATATTATATAAAAATATATATTTATATATACTTAAATATGCATTTATATAGTTATCTTTTTATACATACATTTTCTTTTATATATATATTTTACAACAATTCTATAAGAAATCTTTTCTCTGATTTATCAAACGTGCCATTTATAATTCATATACTTAAATGATCACAAAAATTAATACTGATAAATCATGTATGGTCATTTATCCTATTTCATGATAATTTTTATTCACAATTATATTTTACAACATAAATATATACATCTATTATATAAAAATATATATTTATATATACTTAAATATGCATTTATATATTTATCTTTTTATACATACATTTTCTTTTATATATATATATTTTACAACAATTCTATAAGAAATCTTTTCTCTGATTTATCAAACGTGCCATTTTTATAATTTATATACTTACATGATTTATCAGTGTTAATTTTTGTGATAATTTATGGTCATTTATCCTATTTCATGATAATTTTTATTCGCAATTATATTTTACAACATAAATATATATATATTTTTATACATAAATATGTATTTTTCTATTTAAATATCTATTATATATTTTTAATACATATATTTTCTTTTATATATATATATATATTTTACACCAATTCCATAAGGAATCATTTCTCTGATTTCTCAAATATCCCGCAGCTGTTGATTACCTATCCCTGAACATCCCATTTTTTGCTTTTTTCCCTCTGCCATCCAGAATACATCCAGAAATATGCAACAGAAGAAGCACTAAAAGAACAGGAAGAAGGCACCGGGGACAGCTCATCCGAGAGCTCCATGTCTGACTTCTCTGAAGATGAGGCTCAGGACATGGAGTTGTAGTAGAGGAGGCCACCTGCTTTTCAGAGAGACTCTAATTTCCTAACCATGAGAAGCAGACTATAATATTCATATTTAAACAAAGCAATTTTTTTTATTACTAAACAAGGTTTTTATGAATTCTAGCATTGAGCTATATATATATATATTTATATATATGTGTGTGTTTATATATAAATATATATATATCATCCTTTAGGTCTTGGTTTTCTCGGTCATGTCCCGGTTCCCGAGGTGCATTAGAGCATTCCCAACATTCCATTCTGGTAGCAATATGCAGGATGCATGCCTTGAGATTTTCCATTTGGCCAAGCCAGCTTTGGTGTGCTACCAAACAGCTGCCCTGGGAGGGGGGGAGTTAGCAAAAAACCCCAAAAATCCAACCAGAAGGTAGAGAAAAGCGAAGGATTTGCTGTGGGATGGAGGTTTCCGCCTGAGATGTCGGTGGTGTTTCCTCCAGGTCCAAACCCTCGGGGCTGTAGGGATGGAAGGGGATGGAAGCGGCTCCTCCAGGCCGTGTTTGGCCGTGAGCAGGAGGGGCTGAGCCCCGGAGCGGCGCCGTGCAGAGGCCTGGAGGGGCCCGGAGCACACGGGACTCGCTGGGACGGATTTCAGCCGCGGCTCCTCCCTGCGCTCCCGAACCGCGGGACGGAGCTGGGGCTGTTCCTGCTCCGCCCGGGAGGGAAGAACCACCCAGAACCACCCAGAACCAGCCACGGACGAGGAGGAGGAAGCTCCTGGAGCTGGGATGCACCTGGAGCCCGGCTCCTGCTCTGCCCCGCTCTGGAACCGCTGCCCTTCCACGGCTCCCACTTGGCTTTGGCATTTTGGGGTTTTTTTTTCTTCCTTTCTTTCCCCCCCTCCTCTTTTGCTGGAAGTGTGGTTCAGACACCTGACAGACGCTGGCTGTGTCCTGGGAATTCTCCTCTGACCAGATGGATTGGCCTTGCCAGAGCTTCAGCTCCTCCACGGAATTGTCCCGTTGGCCCAAGTCCACGAATCCATCGGCACCGATTTTGATTTTCCTTTTTTGGTCTTTTTTTTTCCTCTTTTTAAATCTTTCTTTCCTCCCCCTTCTGCACCAGCTTGGTTCCCATCTGCTTGTGTGTGTACAACAGGATAAAAATTCCTTAAGAGTTAACAAAGAAAATTATCTAGGAAAAAAAAAAAAAACCACACAAAATTTGAGCTGAATAAAAAAAAAAGCCTAAAAAGCACCAATTGAGGAAGCAAATGAATTCACTCTTTGTTTTTTTTTTTTTTTGTTGGTTGGTTTGGTTTTCTTTTTTGGTTTTTTGGGTTTTTTTGGTTTTTTGGGGTTTTTTTCCAGGATGTTTGGGAATTGGAATGTTGGATTTCTCCTGGTGTCTTGCAGCAAACTGAGAGATTTTTTTTTTATTTTTGCTGTTGTTCCTAGAAATCTGATAAGTAAATGTCTCCTTGGGATACTTGAATTGGGATAATTGTGCATCGGAGCTTCAAGCTGAGATGAATTTTTAAAGCTGAATGTTACCTGCTGTTTTCTTTTGGGGATTTTTGGAGGGGTTTGGACAAGATCTTTTCATTTGTGATGCGACCTGCAGGAAGAAATCAACCCACCCTGAGCGGCTCTGGAGCAGAGTGTTGAATGTCAGACTGGTACATTTGCATTTCCCCAGAATTCTTGGGCTTCGTTTCCTTTTCCTTTCGAGACTCCACCGAGCTGGGGCTGGGACACCCCAACCCCACCTCAGATTCATAAAGCACAATCAGTTCCTTTTATTTCTGTTGCTTTTGGGGGAGAAAACAAAAACTCCATCAAGTCCCACTTGGCTTTGGCATGAATTTCCTTAATAAAAAACCTACCATGAATTTCCTTTCTGTTAATTCCGGGCACGAAGCGAAGGTTTTCCCTCTCCTCCTCCTCCTCCTCCTCCTCCTCCTCCCCATCCTCTCCCAGCAGTGGTGTAGGGCTGTGGCTAGTACTGTGCTGAAGTTCTCTAGCATTTGTGGCTTGTTGGAGGGTAATATTAATTATTTAACATGTAATGATGTAATTAACTCTTATCTAGCACGTTGTTTGCTCATTAATTTGGGGAGGGAGGGGCCACGTTTAACTCGCTTTCCTGCTGCCCTGGCAGTTTTGCTTGTGCTATAAACCTTTACTTGTAGGTGCTACTTAGGAGTAGAGTCAAGTGCTGGGTGGTGATTTCAGTTTAAAAAGCTTCAAAAAACGAGAAAAAAACACAAAAAACAGAACAAAAAAGAAAAAAAAAAGGCAACCAAAAAAAAAAAAAAGAAATCACAATAAAAATTTGTATTTTTTCAATATTGTATAAAAATAGTGTTCTAATTCCCTCACCCCCTTCCCTTGCAGAGTTTTTCATCTCCATCATTCCCCTGACGTGGATTTAGGGCATCCAACTGCTGGATGGGAAACACTAAGCTGGGATTCCCAAAAAAAACCCCAAAAATTGGGAAAGCACAGCTGGCTGTGAGACACCACGGGATGGGTTCACTGAGCTCCTCCACGCTGGTGGCTCAGCCCCAAAAATGAACATTCCCAGCCCTTCCCAGGCTGAGACCAAGCCCAGCTTCTGTCCTGGGAGGAGAAAGCAGCTGCCAAAGTGCTTGGGGAAGGGTGCAGGGGAAGGTGCTCAGGGTGGGCTGGGGGCTCCCCTGTGTCCCCCCTCAGACCCTGCTGCTGCTTCCCCTCCTGCATCTCCCACCTCTTCTCTTTTCACCCCAAATCTCCCTTTTCCCCCCAAAATAATCTCCCCTTCACTAAAAAATGTCTGTAAAACTTCACCCACCCAATCTGGATGGAAATGTGGAACCATGGTGGAGCAAGAGCTCCAGTCCTTCCTTTTCCCATCTTCAGGGTGGTTTTCTTCTTCAGCCCACGGTGGTGGCGTCACCCTGCTCTGAGCTCCTCACTGCCAAGCTTTGCCACAGCCCTTGGAGCTGCTTTGGGAGCAGCCTTTGCCCCCTGCCCCCGCTGTTCCTCCTCTTGCCCCGAGGTTTTCCATGGAAGGAGAGGCCGGGTGGGCACTGCCAGGCCCCTCTGCCCCAGCTGTCCCCACCCAGGGATGGCTTTGTCCCCACCCAGGGATGCTGGCCCAGGGAGCAGAGCTGTGCCACCAGCCTGACCCCGTCCCTCACTGTGTGTGCTCCCTTCCCTCCTCCCTGCACCTGCGATATCTTTCACTGTTTCTTTTTTTTTATTTTTCTTATTTTTTCCCTTTTTTCCCATTTTCCCCCCTCCTCCACATCCTGCTGCCCCTTTCAACAGCCACAATTCCCCCCCCGTGCTGGGTTCCTGTCAGGTGAGAGCAGAGATCTGGGGCTGGTTTTGCCCTTGGGTTGAGTTTTTGTTCTTTTTCCTTTTTTTCTCCTCTTTTTTTCCTGGCGTTCGTAGAGTGGCACAGCTGCCTCTCCTCTGGGTATAACCTCTCCAATAGCTGTGTATAATTCAACTGTAAACTTCCTCTTTTTTTTTTTAAATAAAATCTGTACATACCTTGAGATCTGCCTGGTGTTTGGGCTGCAGGGACGGCCCCGGGCTCTGCATCCCCGGAGGCACCACCGGGCCCTTCCCCACCTGCAGTGACCGCCTGGAGGCGATGGTGGCGAGGCTCATGGTCCTGGGGCTTCTCCAACCTCACCCATTCCTTTCGCAGCTCTTCAGGTGATGCCCTTCCGTCCCTGTGGCACAGCCACGGCCCCAGGATGATTTTTAGGATTTTTGGGATTTTGGGGCCGGATGAGGCACCACGAGGCACCCACTGCTCCCATTCCTTGGATGCCGGGGTCTCCTGGAGCTGGAGCTGTCCCGGGTGAGGCTGCCCGGGATTCCCGGGAGCTGTGTCATTAATTAACGCTGCTAATTAGGCGGAGGGGCTGTTTGCTGGGTGCTCACTCCTCATTTGGGATGAGGTGTGCGGGGAACGGGGGGAGCGGCTCAGGGACCCCAGGGGCTGTGCAGGGCCAGGGAAGGTGACAGGGCTGGCACGTCCCTTGTCCCCTCTCACCCGCCCTGACCCCCGCAGCTGCCACCGCGCAGCTGGAGCTGAGCCCGACCTTCCTCTCCATCCTCCTCCTCCTCCTCCTCCCCGGCTCGGGGCTGTTTGTCACCAGCCTGGGGACACGCCGGCGGCTCTGTGCCACGCCAGTGCCACCTGCTGCCAGCGGGGCTGTGACACTGTCCCGGGCCACCTCCACTGTCCCCGGCCACCTCCACTGTCCCGGGCCACCTCCACTGTCCCCGGGCCACCTCCACTGTCCCCGGCCACCTCCTGCGGCCGCTGTGCCCGGGCTGTGCCCCTGCGGAGGGCGGGTAGGGGGGACAGTGCCGCGCCCCTCGCTGTGTCCCCTCCCTCGGGGGCTCCAGGGCCAGCGGGGGTGGCACTGCCGCTGTCCCCTCTGCCCGGCAGGTGGCCCCCGTGCCCCACCAGTGGCTCCCAGTCCGGGGCAGAGCCGGGCGCGGTCCTGGGTGTCCCCCGGCAGTGCCCCCATGGCTGCTCTGTCCCCGCTGTCCCCCTCGGGGCGTGGCTGTGGTTTGGGGGGTCACTGTTAGGGTGACAGGGGGGACAGAGCTGGTGGCAGGCGCTGCTCCTGCTCCCGGAGGTGCCACCCGGGCCGGTCTGTGACGGGGTCAAAGGGCAAGGCCTGGGGCTCCCGGGGATGTGGGTGACACCTCGGGGGCTCTGGGAGCATCACTGGGGGGTGACATTGCCATGGGACCCGGGTGACATTGCCATGGAGCTCTGGGTGACATTACCATGGGACCCAGGTGACATTGCCATGGGACTCTGGTGACATTCCTATGGGACCCCAGGTGACATTCCCATGGGACTCTGGTGACATTCCCATAGGGCTCTGGGTGACATTCCTATGGTGCTCTGGGTGACATTCCCATGGAGCTCCAGGTGACATTCCCATGGGGCTGTGGGTGACATTCCCATGGTGCTCTGGGTGACATTCCCATGGGACCCAGGTGACATTCCCATGGAGCTCTGGGTGACATTCCCATGGGGCTCCAGGTGACATTACCATAGGGGTCCAGGTGACATTCCCATGGGATTCTGGGTGACATTCCCATAGGGCTCTGGGTGACATTCCTATGGGACTCTGGGTGACATTCCCATGGGACTCCAGGTGACATTCCCATGGGACCCAGGTGACATTCCCATGGAGCTCTGGGTGACATTCCTATGGGGCTCCAGGTGACATTCCCATGGAGCTCTGGCTTTCACCACTGCAGGGCTTTGGGTGTTGTCCCCAAGGAGCTTTGGGTGCCATTCCCATGGGACTTTTGGTGTCCCATGGGCTCTGGGTGCCACCCCAGAGGGGCTTTGGGGCCATTTTCAATGGGTGCCACCCCTCAGGGATTTTGGGTGCCAGCCCCACAGGGTTCTGGCTGCCAGCCCGTGGAGTTCTGGGTGCCATCCCCGTGGGTCTCTGGGTTTCCACAGGGCTTTGGGTGCTGTCCCCATGGAACGTTGGACTGAGGACTCTGGAGTTCTGGGTGCTCTCCCTGCGGGCTTTTGGGTGCCATCCTGAAGGGGTTTGGGTGCCATTTCCATTGGGTTCTGGCTGCTGCTTGGTGCCATCCCTGTGGGGACCTGGGTGCCACCCCTGTGAAGATTTGGGTGCCATCACCATCAGGCTTTGGATGGTGACATCCCCAAGGACCTCTGGGTGCCACCCCCAAGGGTCTCTGGGTGCCATCACCATCAGCCTGTGGATGGTGACATCCCCAGGGGTCTCTGGGTGCCACCCCTGTGGGTGCCACCCCTGTCAGGCTCTGGCTGGTGCCACCCACAGCCCCTGTGACCCACGGGGACAGCCCAGCGCTGGCCGCTGCTCGGGGCTCTGCTCCTGGGGCTGCTCCTGGTGGCTCCGGGGCACTCCCAGCCCTCCTGGCTCCGTCCCTGTGCCACACTCCAGGACCCTCCACCCTGGGAGCCCCAGGGATCTCCGGGATCCTGCCCAGCCTGACGGTGCCGTGTGTCCATCCGCGTGTCCATCCGTGTGTCCATCCATGTGTCCATCCGTGTGTCCATCTGCGTGTCCATCTGCGTGTCCATCCGTGTGTCCATCCGTGTGTCCATCCATGTGTCCATCCGCGTGTCCATCCGCGTGTCCATCCATGTGTCCATCCGTGTGTCCATCCGTGTGTCCATCCGCGTGTCCATCCGCGTGTCCGTCCGTGTGTCCGTCCGCGTGTCCGTCCGCGTGTCCATCCGTGTGTCCATCCGCGTGTCCATCCATGTGTCCATCCATGTGTCCATCCGTGTGTCCATCCGTGTGTCCATCCGCGTGTCCATCCCCGTGTCCATCCGCGTGTCCATCCGCGTGTCCATCCATGTGTCCATCCATGTGTCCATCCATGTGTCCATCCATGTGTCCATCCGTGTGTCCATCCGTGTGTCCATCCGCGTGTCCATCCGTGTGTCCATCCATGTGTCCATCCGTGTGTCCATCCGGATGCCCCCGAGCCCAGGCGGGCACCCAGACGAGCCGGGCCCCGTGTGGTGACCCCGCTGTCCCCGGGGGACACCTGAGCCTCCCGGCCGGCCCCGGGCCGGCTCCGGTTACGGCCCAATTGTTCCTGCCGCTGGAAGAAATGCCGTCAGCGCCGGCGGATGGGATCGGTGGCCATTACTAATGCATGACATTGCCGTGGGACACGGCCCCTCCGCACCCCCGGGAAGGGCAGGAGGGGCAGGGGGGTGTGGGGAAGGCTTTGGCTCCTCCTTCCCCCATTCAGACCCGAATTTCAGCTCAGGATGTGCCAAGGGAGCGAGCCGTGGCCTGGGGGACACGTGTGTGTGTGTGTGCCCGGCTGGAATGGTGGGGCTGGAGCCGGG